CATTGCTAACAAAAACAAGTAATGTTTCAATGGAAGACAAACAAAGCCAAAGTTGTTAAGTGGATGTGCATCATTAACTCTGCAGACATTCTGCTCTATAGAATAGAATCTATTTTTCTCAACATTGAGAAGAGGCCTAGCAGGTTTGAAAGAACCTAGGCTTCAGTATTTAGAAGGATTTGGCCACTTCCAAGCTAAATGAAAGAGGTCCAACCAGTTGTTGTAAGCATGTAAAGGAAGTCCAGAGGAACACACCAAACTGTGGAGTGCAGAAGCTTAGTCACTAGTTGGAGTTTCCAGAGAATGTAGTTTTTTGGTTAGGACAATACTGAAATATTTGAGCCATACCATGAATAATAACTTATGTCTCATGTTTATTAGAAGCTCAGGCCTAAAAAAGGGGAAAAGTTTAGGAGCAGCACTGTCTTTAAACCAGCATCATATTATCAGCCAACCATATTCCCCCTTATTCAGGTTGGGCAGAATAAAGCATTACGTCAATATAGTTATGAAACTATTAACACCTCCAACAAATAAAAACTAAGAGAGAGAAAGGAAAAAATAAACATTCTCCTACTCCATATGATATTTGATATGGATTGGACCTGATTCTCAGCAACAGCTTTCAAAAAGTCAGCTTTAACTTTGAATGCAGGAAGTTTTTCTCTGAATGACTGCATTGCCTTCACACTCTTACTTGCCTGTAAGAGGGTATCACATGAGAAATATTTTAATATTAATTTGATCATAAAAAGATTAAAAATAGAGCAATCCGGATCATTAAAGTACATGGAATGATATAAAGATATATATTTAAATAGTTATACTACCATCCAGACCTTCAAATCTTCCTGCCTCTGCTTAAGTTCAGCACTGAGTTTCTCCTTGGCAGAATCAATTTTCAATGTGGAGAGAGGATTCATCATTATTAAATTCGGCAATGGTTGTTTGGCTTCCTTACCGGGTGCCACAATAACAGAATCATTAGCAGATACTCTGCTGCTTGAGCTATCCAAAAGATTTCCAACTCTCCTCTCAGTTTCGCTAGACATTTGAATCTGTACAAAAGTTGAAAAATTAAAATTAAAATGATATATTTAGCACAACAATGAGAATGATTTGGATGTATTTTACCTCTTTTTGTGTGGACCCATGGCGTTCATCAAGATCTGCACGATAATTTGGTAATGGAACTTTGCTCACCACAAGAGCCTTCCCTTTATTATATGCATGACTTTCTTTCCAAAATGTGAAAGGACGAAACAAATTTGTAAGAGGAAACTAACATAACATTACAGAAGTCAAATGTCCATGGTTTTTAGGTTGACCAATGAAATCAGACATATCATTTTGCCAAGAGACGAAAAGCACTTATCCAATAAACTACTTAGAAACTATAGTTTACCAAAAAAAAAAAAAGAGAGCCCAGTTTTTCCTCAAATGAAATTATGATGCTGAGTGATTAGGAACACTTACAAGTAAAGACCCAATTGATAAGCCATGTCAGAGAGAGTTTGCTGGTCCTGCCTACTGAAATTCCGCTTTATTATCATCTCTTGCTCCCTTCCTTCTTTCATTTGCTCAATCTTACCCCACCATTCATTCTCATCCAGAACTTCCATCTAAAGGTATATAGAAAACAGTTAATACAACCAAAATGAGAAAATTTTAAAAAATAAAATAAAATCTATCCATTGAATTTACTTTTATCCATTTTCTTAAAGCACACTCCAGAGAATTCAACAACTATGTTCACTTAGCTACAACTAGTAACAGAAATTCAGAAAAATATTGGAGGCCACTAAACCCAGCTGTTTCCAAATAGAGAGCTACAAACATTTTTACTTAGTTAAATTCATAAAATGCTCATTCTGGATGATAGTTGCAAAAGAAGAGGAAACTAGAATTTGAAGGAGAAATAATAATAATAAGATGACATTAAACTCAAACCATAAAATAACCAGCCTTTCATTTCGAACTAACATAGCCTCCTAAGAATTTAATTCTTTTTAAAGTTTCTCGGCAGCCAAACAGTTCCTATGGTTGTTCCAATAAGGTAGTCTTAAAGCAAACAAACTCGACTCTACTAGAACATAAAACATGATCACTCGTGACAGATAAACACTATTTGCATATCAAAGCCGATACCTCAGCATCCTTCTGTCGCAGGCGCTCTGCTCGCCAGACAGGATCCCACCAGCGTTGCTCGCCGCGCCCTCCGCCGCCTCCCCGGCGCCCTCCACCGCGGCCAGAAGCATTGCCACCACCGCCGCGTCCTGGAGCACTGCCACCGCGGCGGCCGCCTCGGAAGTTGGAGCGTTGGGACATGGTAAAAGAAAAATACTGAAGCCGAGAAAATGGAGAGGCTACTCTTTTGCAAAAGCAAAAACTTTGGCTAGCGCAAAGCGAGGGCAAAGACATGGCCAAAGAAGAAAAAGGCGGAGACTTTACATATACATGGACCGCACCTTCCCGGGGTCGTGGCTCCCTCGGGATGAAGAAGGAGCTTCGGCCCAATAGAAAAGGGCTCAGCCCATGGTGATGGGCTTCTGACCCGACCCATTATCATTCGGTCCGGAATTGTGATGCTTTCTTTCCCTTCTCCAGTTTAACCTCCATTGATACAACCCAAAGGGGAGAGATCTGATCGAACGAGTTGACCCGCCGATTACCGTCGAGGTAGACTAGCTCCGGCAGCCGTCGATTGGGGCAGACAAAATGGTAGATCCGGCGAACTCGCCGCTAGGCAAAATGCTGTTGGAGGAGATCACTCCCGTGGTGATGGTCCTCTGCACGCCGAACGTTGAAGAAGCATGCCTCAAAAATGGCCTCTCCTTTGTCCAAATGCTCACTCCTTTCTGCAATTTTAACAACATCGACGGTGAGATATCAATTCTCACTCATTGTATCGATTGTATTGTATATGGACAGGTAGTGAGTTGATTCTTCTTTTGATTTGTGGTTTCCAGTACCAGTTCGGACATCGAGTGATCATCCTTACAGGCTGCAGAAGTTCAAGTTGCGGCTGTTTTACGCATCAGATATTCGACAGCCAAATCTTGAGGTAATTCTCTCAAGATGCTTCCTTTGTATCTCGAGGGGATGTAAGAACAATAGTTCGAATCTGTAGAGGTTTGAATTTTACATTTGGTTAGTCAGATGTTAATTTGCTATTGAAGAGTACTTTTGAGTGAAGAGAGTTTAGAATTTATTTAAGTTCATAATAAAGTTCTAAATAGAATAATGGGGAAAATATAGTGTTCTGGGTGGGTGAGGATGTTTGAAATAAACATTGAGCTGAATTGTGCAGTTTCCATTATATGATGAAATACCTTCTCGGTTGGGAAAGTTGTTTTATCTGAAAATATGCGTTGATAATCTAGGTAGCAAAGGAACGATTGAAGCAGGTTATTACCCAGGCTGGAGAGGAAGATTTTTCTGAATTGTCTTTAGACCCTCCTCAAATTGGTGATTTTGCCTCAAGTAAGTTAATTCTGTTAAATTTTTGTTATTTGCAGTTAAGTTTTGTTTTGTGCTCTCTCTTGGTCTAATATTTTATCAGCATTTTACTTCGGTGTGGTTTGTTTCCATTTTCATGTTTAATGTATGTTAGGATATCTGCTCTCAGATCTAACTGTTCATTGCACATTTTGATACTTTAAGTCTCTGTTTTAATTAATACATTGCGACTCCTTTCTGCAGGATCTGAATCTGAAATTTTACCATCATGGTTCCAGTTTTTTAATAAAGAGCTCATACGTACCTTGTCCTTTTCAGACCATGAAGCTTTTGACCATCCTGTGGCATGTAAGCTTTTGTAAATAATTAGGAAGTTCTCTTTCTTTCTTTTTATGTAAAATATCATTTGGATTCAGTATTTGATCTTTTCCTACAAATTTATTTGTAGGTCTTTTGGTTGTTTCTTCAAAGGATGAAGAACCCATAAACAAATTTGTTGACCTGTTCAATACCAATAAATTGCCCTCTCTTCTTAATGATGGTGTTATGGACCCAAAAATTCTGAAGCATTACTTATTGTTACATGATAACCAGGATGAGCCTTCAGAGAAGTATGTCTGCCTTCCTTGTCTTGGTTCATTCTTTGAAACTGTTTTATGTATTTCTGTCATCTGAGTTTGAGCAATGGTTATACAAGCATTAACACAATGCTAAAAGCACTGCTTGAGTGGAGGATGATGCTTATTAGATCTTTTACAGCTATGCTTTCCTCCTCATTACCAATTATTTTATTTTTTTATTGGCAGTTTTATTTTTTGTTTATCGTTCATTAGGAGAAAACATGAATGCATACAGTTTATTAATCAGGTGATTGGGTAAGCTTATTTCAATTAATTAATCAGTGAAGCATAATAAAATGTTTTTTCTTGGATAAGCATATAGAAAAACAATTCCTAAGCTACAACCTGTCTTCTTTTCATTTGATGAAGTAAGAGGTCATCCACTTTCAGTTGTTGTTCTGTTTATGAATATATTTGTATTCCATTTGAGAATTATTTTGGTTACATTCTTATTGCCTTTGTAACTGCGGTGTAATCACAACTCTGATTGAGATGATTCTAGAGCAATTGAATATAACATGACAGCTGTTTAAATTCTTTCATGTCTGCAGAGCAACTAAAATTTTGACAGAAATGAGAAGCACATTTGGTCCTAATGACTGTCAATTACTTTGCATTAATTCTTCCCAAGATGGGCCGATAGAACATCAGGAGAACCTGTGGGCTCCATTTGTAAGTTAGTTTGAAGGACTACAATCATTCATTTGCTTGTTTCAAAATATAATATATATTGTTGTATTAGTTTTATCTTTCTTTTCAGATTGATAAATGAAGCAGAAGGGTTAACAACTTAAATGTCTCATATGTTTGTGACAGAAATTTGATGCTTTGCCTAGTCAGCATCTTGGTTGTTTCCTTAACATTGATGACTTTAATGAGGTAGATGAATGCATTTCAATAAATTTATCTGATCTTGGATAATGTTAAGGATTTATGTTTCAAACTTCCACTTTTTGTTTGCAATATCTGTGTACAGATAAAGAATATCATGCAAGAATTATCATCTAAGCACATCATTCCTTACATGGAGCAAAAAATACGTGTGCTTAATCAACAGGTATTCTATTCTAGAATATTTTTTGGTGATTTATTACCCCTTGGTTCTACTTTAAAAAACCTTTTTTCTGCTTGTACTTTTGTAACGGAAACACTTAGGTTTCTGCTACGAGGAAAGGTTTTAGAAATCAAATTAAAAACTTATGGTGGAGAAAAGGGAAAGAAGATGCATTAGATTCTCCCAGCGGTCCTATGTAAGTCTTACCTCTTACAGATGTGTTCATTCTGTGTTTTGACTTGCTTCTTTCAATATATTCTCTTTTCTTTTTTTTTTTGTACTGTTAAAGGTATACCTTCAGCTCAATTGAATCTCAAATCAGAATTTTGGGTGACTATGCATTCATGTTACGAGATTATGAACTGGCATTGTCAAACTATCGCTTAATTTCTACAGATTACAAGATTGATAAAGTGTGGAAGCGGTATGCTGGTGTGCAGGTTATTTCAGATCTTTATTTCTACATTATTGTGTCTTTTGGCCAATTCTTTCATCATTCACTCTACATTAATTTATTATTCTATTCTACTGTATTTTCCCTAGAGAAAAAGGGGTAATGAGTCCTGCCTTGTTTTCTTTCATTTTCTTATCCTTCAGTACTTTTTATTCTACTGTATTTTTCCCTAGAGAAAATGCAGCAGACAGTGTAATCTCTGGCTCTTGTGTTTTAGATCCTCTCTCTGACTTAATTAATTAAGATGATGTAATCAAATGTTGTGTTAGCTCGTACTGGTAGATTAATATGTAAGAAATTAAATGACAGTTTTGTTCACATAATTTATTAGGTTTGTATTTTGGGGTTTACTCCCTGAATTTTGTGTAGTTTGCTCTCGATTAATTTTTACCCATTGTTGATTTGATATACATGTGATATAGACAGTATATAGTAGAATGCAGTGTACAGACATGCTGTTATAGATGTTAGAGCTGTCTTAGTGTCTGTATATCAGTTTATTGTAAGTTTGCACTGGGTTAATTTTTACTGATTGTTGATTTGATATACATGTGATATAGACAGTACATAGTAGAATGCTGTTATAGATGTTAGAGCTGTCTTAGTGTCTGTATATCAGTATATGTATATATATTGTTGTGTCTTCATTTTGAGCAGTGTGTAGTCGGTCTTCTAGGCTTGTGAAGCTGGTTATAAGTTTTGATTTCTTGTTTTTTGCATATTGTCCTCTGTCGTCCTTTCCTGTCATTGCCAGTAATTGTATCATCTTTCAATGAACAATCTCCCAGTGGCAATATTCCTAATTTATTTTTGTTATATTTCAGGAAATGATGGGGCTTACATACTTTATGCTGGATCAATCAAGAAAGGAAGCAGAGTATTGCATGGAAAATGCATTTAATACTTATTTTGTATGTATAGCTCTTTAACTTCTTTCTTGCTTTATTATAACATTTTGGGAACTAAGTCTGAACTCTATTTGAGCCATGGTAAAAAGTAAGAGAAACTTGGCTTGACAAAACAACTCAAACTCAAGTGTGATATTAAATATTGTCCTAAGCTGTGTTGGTTTGGATAACTTCATGAAAGTTTGAGTTTGATTCTACTTGGTTTCTTATGCAATAATAAAAATGTTCTAATAGGAAATATTAATAAATAAAATACAAAAAATAGATTGGGTTTGCTGAATAACTGATAATGATAATGATAACAAAAATATATTTAAAGATAGTCTGTGATCTTTCCAGTTGTTGTGATCTTTCAAGTTGATGGCTGCATTCTTTGTATCTGTCTTGTTCAAGTAAAAGAGTCGATATGAACTTTGCTAGTCGCTAGTCATTTTAGTAATTAATTGATTGTAGCCAAAGTTCTTCACTTCTTTGTTAGTTGAGCTCAAACTATTTATCCACATGTTAACAAGCAGTGAGAGAGAATATTGTAAATATTGGTTGCCCAATGCTGCCTTCATGCATTCTTAACTTAATGAAAAATTGTGAATATTTGCAAGAACTTGAATATATTTGAAAGATAATAATGAGATTTTCCTGTAGTTAAAAGAATCCAGTAGAAAATGTTGCAGGTAACAAAAATTTATTAGAAAAGTTGTTTTGAGAATGAATTTATTGAAAAAAAGACCACCTTATGAACTTTAGCAGTAGTCTGTTGAAAGGTGCCATTAATTTTCCATTTTTGAAATTTTCATTGAAATTTTCATGTAATCCTCAACGGGATCATACGCAATTTGCAATATACTTAGTCCTTTATTATCTTCCAAATCATATTAATCACATCACATTACATACAAAGAATGCAAACCCATGATATGTTAAAATAATGATCTCCGTCATGTTGCTACTTTGGGTGGAGTACCGCATGAATCTCTTAATCTACTACTCTCGTGTAACCTACAAATCCAGTGTTTTTCCTAGAACTTATTCATAATATTTTATTCTATAGTGTTGCTTATTTTTAATGCTTCTGTGCAACTTTTGTCAAAATTGATGAATTTAGTAAGTTCTTGCAGCTAACTCTCACCTTTTCTTTTATGTCTGTCAAATTCATGCAGAAAATTGGGTCAGCTGGTCAGCAGAATGCTACACGCTGTGGTCTCTGGTGGATAGGGATGCTCAAGACTGGAGAGCAGCACAAAGAAGCTGCCACTGTCTACTTTCGCATTTGTGGTGAGGTAATATACATGTCCTCAGAATTACTCCATTGAAGTATATTTTTCTACTAATCAGAGCCTTTTTCTCTTAGGATCCTTTACATTCAGCTGTTATGCTCGAGCAAGCATCTTACTGCTACTTGTTGTCAAAACCAGCAATGCTGCACAAATATGGATTCCATCTTGTTCTTTCTGGTGATCATTACAAAAAATGTGATCAGGTATGCGTATCACTTTAGTATTAATATAATCTTATCAAATCCTGCTTCTTCTTAGAGTTGAAGCATTATCTTCTGTAGGTTAAACATGCAATTCGCACATATAGGAGTGCAGTTTCTGTTTACACAGAGACTACATGGAGCCATATCAAGGATCATGTTCATTTCCACATTGGACAGTAAGTTAATTAACTTTGTGCGTCATTCCACATGAATTACTGACAATTGCAAGATCCACGGTTGGAAAGATTCATAACAGAATGGACTTGATATAGGTGGTATGCTTTTCTTGGCATGTATGACATTGCTGTCACCCATATGTTGGAAGTCCTGGCCTGCAGCCATCAGTCCAAGACAAACCAGGAGCTATTTCTGAGGGATTTCCTTCAAATTGTTCAGGTTACCATAAGCACTATTTCTTTCCCTTTATGCTCAATAAATATACATTCAGATGAAAGTGGAACAAACTGAAGGTTCTTTGAGCACGTGAAGTAGGTCCTAGATTATGTAATTCCTGTTTTGCTTGAGTGTACATGCTTACAACCTTGTAAGCTATACCTGCAGCTATTCCTACATGCATCATTTTTCTAATTGTTAGCTCTCATAATACACCCATACCAACCTTGGTCCTAGTTTGTAAGGAGCAATATCCAAGGCTCCATTAAGTTGACCATGGTGCTGAACCAAAATTGAAAAGGCCCTATTTTAACAAGCTTTACTATGTCAAAAAGAAAAAAAGCTTTGCATGCTTTGACTGTTCTTTTTCCTTGGGTAATGTAGAAAACTGGGAAGACATTTGAGGTATTAAAACTTCAGTTACCTGTTATCAACATCTCATCACTTAAGGTCATTTTTGAAGACCAGCGAACTTATGCATCGCCTGCAGCTGTAAGTTGAATTACTATAGATTGTTACATGGATCTGCAAATCTTTTACATCAATCTGTCTTTTCAAAAGTTTTTTCTTGTTCTTGGTGCTTCTGTTTTAATTTGATTTTTAACATATTGGGTTATTGTGCACATATGTTAAAAGATGATTTCGATGCTGATGTTGTTTTGATTTTGTTTATTATACTATTGCTTTGGTTGGTTGTCTCTTTGTATAAATTCATTATGCCCTGAATGTTGTGAGATTAACCTGCTAGTATAAACATCAAATCACTATCCTACCTCTACTTTTGACTCTGCTACCATTAGCCCATAGAGATCACAACTCCCTTAATCACTGTATTCCAAATTCTTCTAACATTTCTCTAAATCTAGAGACTGCTTTTATACAAAAGCTGCAGGGATTTTTAACATAAACTCACTTTCTTTTCATGAGTGGCTTTCACTTCCCATGTGAAAGATTTTAACCTTAACAAGTTTTCAAACTAGTTGAGCTTATGCTCTGCTGTTAGACTTTTCTGGTATGTACTTTAATATGTCGGCATGAAGATTCACTTTTTCCATGTGAGTTCCATAAGATCCCTAGTCATAATTAAGATTTGAGGATATGCAGTTTGGCATGCATGGCCCTTAATCTAGTTATTTATTGGAGAAATGTGATTGGGCTTGCATAAGACAATGAAAGATAAGAGGTTTTAAATAAAAGTTAGGAACTGCTGATGGCAAACTGGTCAGCATTTCTTTTGGGAGGGGATGTTGAAAGTGATGGTGTATCGTTGCTTCAATTTGTACTGATCTTTTGAGGTTTCTGGAAATCACAATGAGGACTATTCCATCTTGTTTTTGTTAATAACATGTTCTATGGAAAAGATGGGTTCGAACTATTACACCTGGAATTAGCTTGAGAGGTTGTGCATCCTTGGTTGAGTTGTCCTGCTATTTGATGGAATTGTCACTCAAAAAACTATTTTATGCTGTATTTTCATATTCCCAATGCTAATTAGATTATTGATAGGTGCACTGTAAAGTTGGGTGATGAGCAAACTTAACCCTTGAAGCATTAATTCTATATTTCCTACCATCAGCCATGTGGCCTGCTGGTAGGGTTACCTGTGCTCGTAGTCACAGGTCTAGGGTTCAATCCTGTCTCTATATACCCAAAAAAAAATTAATTCTATATTTCCTGTTGTTTCTTAGTTGACTATTATACAAATTTAATTATGATATGATTACATAAAAATATTTCTGTTAATTATGGTAAACATCCCACTGAAATATTCCTTCAGGGATCATTTACAGCTTCATGAAACTGTTTCAAAATGGTTTGTAGTTAATGGCATTGTCACTTATTGCAGGCTAATGTGAAAGAAAGTTTGTGGCATTCACTGGAGGAAGACATGATTCCCTCATTAACCACTTCCAGGTCCAACTGGCTAGAGTTACAATCAAAAGTCATGCCAAAAAAATATAAAGAATCAAATATTTGTGTGGCAGGAGGTATGAAGGTGATATTGTTTTACATAGAGTTTCTTACCTCTTTGGTTAATCATTTTTCTGACAAGAAATGCTCATTTTCTGTATTAACTAGTGGCATTGGGTTTGGCATTTTTTTTGTACTGCACTAATGCGCAAATTAGACAGCAAAAACTTGCAAGATTAATACACATTTCCACATACTGCTATTCTGCCAAAACCTGCTTCATAATTCATGTTGCCTTTGCAAAGTGTATGTTGCACTTTCTTATCTTGTGTATCGTACTGATTTATCAGTGGTGGATCCCAAAATATCTAAATGTCACCTTTTCAGCTGGAACTTTATTTTTTGGAATTTCAACTGACTGTTTCTCTAGTCATCTGTTCGCTTTTCTGAAACAATTAACATTTAGAGGTTGTTTTAATTTGGGAGATGCCTATCTGGACTAAGATGATTGCTTTGTTGTGAATGTGTTTTCATTTTTGTAAAAAGCTCAGATTCTCATTGTTACTGACTTCATTATAACTATGGATCATGAACAAAATATCATTCCATTGTAAGTAACTAAGTATCATGCAGCATATCTTTGAACACATTCCACCAATCGAGACATTATAGGTTCATCTGTTTCATTTCAAAAAGAATGAAATAACATTGCACTTCTTACTTTGTAGTTTATACACAATTCTAGTCAATGATTTCCTTATCCTCCTGCAATAAACCATATGATTGTAAAATCATTCTTACTCTTGCTGCTCTCTTACATGGATGAGATTCTGCTTCAACATGATGAACAGATGGAGTTGACATGCTGTACAATATTAACTTTTTTTTTTCTCTTTTTTGATAACAATGTGTCTGCAAGTGTGACAAGATATTTAACAGGCGTACTTAACAAACACAGTGTTTGGGTCCTTCACTACAGTGAAGAACAGATTCAACATCTAACTTGATTGAAATATTTGACCCAACTATTGGAAGTCTAGTAGTTATTATTGATAGATGATAATTAAAAGATGCAAAACAGCTAATATATATTATACTGATGATATTTCTGTTTCTTTTTTCATCTCTTTGCAGAGGCCATAAAAGTGGATGTTGAATTTAGAAACCCTCTGCAAATCTCTATCTCCATCTCTGGTGTTTCTTTAATATGTGAGCATTCTGCAAGTCCTGACGAAATGAAATCTGGCAAGTTTCTATCATATTCTTTTTGCACTTTCTTTTCCTTTATTCCTTTTTATCAACTTTTATTTAGGGAAGTCATCAAAATTGAATATTTAATGATTCAATGGTAATGCAGATGCTAGTAGCTCAATCATTGATCTCCAACATGATGAGAACAAAAAATTGACAACCACTGGGTATGACTCTGTATCATTCCCCACTCCTCACTCATCTTCTCCCCATATGATGTTGTTCAAGTTCTCACCTTTTTACCTCTTACTCTTACACCTTGCAGGGACGTAAACTCGCCATTTATTTTGTCAGAAGTTGACCTTGCTCTAGCAAGTGGTGAAACCATCTTGGTTAGTCTCTTATGCAATCAGTCAAATAACTCATGGTATTGGCGTAAATTACTGCTATTTGGCTAAAATATTGCTTATCAATTGAAGGTAGTAGTGGAATTTGGTATCAATATGTGGGTTATTCTTTGGTTGCCTGAATATTGAGTTTTCTTGCATCCAGCCTACCATATTCATATCTTATTCTCACCAAGGTTAACCCTATTACTAGGATTTTGGTATGAGTGTCTTTGCAACTACAATTTGAAATAGACATCTCGGGGTTGTTACTTCCAAGGCATATCCCAGTGGTCCTCAAGCAAAAGCAAGCACTGCAGAATTGGAAGTTTTTAAGATGTAAACATTGAAATAGGTCTATATCTGATAATGAGATTTATGATTACAGGTAGGATTGGGCACAATTCTGTTAGCACTGAATTAGCTGATGGTTAATTTATTTAATTAGTTAAATAGGTTAATACCAAAAGGGTTTTTCTAACTTGTGGCCTAAGGACACAAGTTAAGTGTGCAATTATTGCACCTTTCTAACATTAATTAGTATTGAAAAATACAAAAGCTGTCATTAATTTCACTGCCAGTGCAACATGTGGATCATTTTAATTGGGTAGTTGCTTAAATAAAGGCTAACTTTTATTTTATCAATATCAATTAATATAAAAAAGGTGCAATAATTGCATTCTTAAGCACAAGTTAGAAAAACCCATACCAAAATATATGAAATAGGTTTTGTTTCTATTATAGTGGGGGAAAAATAAATTAGTTAACCGAATTAACCAAATTAACAGGTTAACCAAATTAACAAAAATTATCAAAATTTGACTCAAAAACTTGAAATTTACAATTTCTTATTCAAAAACTACTCAACTAATGTGATTAATTTTCATATCAATACAACATTTGTATAGCATGTTTGAGAAAAATTGATAACAATTGAAAGAAGAGATTAGAAACAAAATCTGCCTAGTATAGTACTTCTGGTTAATTAGGTAGTTAACTGAAATGAACCAAAGTAAGCAAAATGCAAAAAGAAAAAGAAAAGAAAAGAAAATCTAAGTATAATTTATTTGGTTAAAACCAAATTAACTAATGTTCCAAACCTAAATATTTTGGTTAACCAACATTTGTACTGAAATATACTTTGGTTTGGGTTTGGTATAGAAGTTGGTAACGAGAAATTGTTGATTAACTGTATCGAACCAATGCCCAGCCCTAATTGCAGCATTTGCATAAAAAGTTGTTACAGGCTGTAATCCTAATTAAAAAGCGTATACTGGTCAATTCTTAAAGAAAACATACAACTGACTATCAGCAGTCTGTGTTTGACAGTTTTGGAGAGATTCCTATTAAATGATCTAATTCCTGTACGCTCAAGAAAGATAGCGTAGGATTTTATGTACTGGCCATTTTGTGTCTCAGACTTGTTTCCTTTTCCTTAATACTATATCCAAGAATTCTTTATATTGCTAACTCTTTGTTTCTTCAGGTGCAACTGACAGTAACTCCAAGAGTGGAAGGCATTCTGAAAATTGTTGGTGTTAGGTGGAAACTATCGAGTTCTGTAGTTGGTTTCTATAATTTTGAGTCCAACTTTCTGAAGAAAAATATTCTAAAAGGACGGAGGAAGTCTCAGCATTCTCCTATTAATGAATTGAAGTTTATGGTCATAAAGGTACATACTTCCCACACCCTTTGTATACATGCATTCATGCATGTTTGTGTGTGGAATTAACATGTAAGCTAACCCTTGTGCTTTTGCTGCTTAATGTCCAGAGTATACCCAAGCTTGAAGGTTTCATTCATCCTTTACCAGAAAATACTTATGTGGGAGACTTGCGGCACCTTGTTTTGGAGTTAAAGAACCAGTCAAAAGATCCTGTCCAGGTAGGTTTTCCATGCATCCAAGTGTTTTGTAATAACGATTCGTTAGCATATGAATCCATCAGTGGTTGATTGTATCTGTCTTTGGATTCTTCAAACTGAGGAGATTGTGACCTTTTGATTGCTTAGAGGCTTAATCCCAGTTAACTTTACAGACACTACTTATTTGTCAGCTTTGGTAAATGTGCACACTGGTGCCATCTCATTTGAAATATTGATCATATTGATAAATGTTTTGTCTCAATCATCAGCGAGGCATGGCTCTGTTTATCTAGACACATTCACATGCATGCATGTCCTTTGAATATAGTAGATTAATATCTTCCATTTGATTAACAGAATCTTAAGGTGAAGATCAGCCATCCCAGGTTCCTTGATGTTGGGAATCAGGATGAGTTGAATATCGAATTTCCAGCCTGCTTAGAAAAGAAGATAAATGTCGAAAAAAGCGGTGTGCATGCCAAAACTAACAATATGTCTCAGGATGTGTTTCTATTTCCAGAGGTCAGTTTGGGAGTTTTCCATATTCAAGGTTCATTTGAAATCTAGATTAATTTGGTGTCAACAATTTTTTTGCAATCATAATACTAAAGTTTCTTTGTTTCAGGACATAGCAGTGCTGGAGGAAACACCATTACGGTGGCCTCTTTGGCTTCGAGCTGCTGTTCCTGGAGATATTTCTCTTTCAATAATAGTATATTATGAAATGGGAGAGACATCAAGCATCATGAAATATCGCACTCTACGCATGCATTATAATTTGAAGGTATGTGCTTATTTATTAAAGTAGAGTCTGCTGGATTTTAATTTTTTTTCACATATTTTTTGTGTGTGGTACTTTGAAATATATGGACTATAAAGTTTAGGTGCTTACTGTAGCTAAGTATAACCTTCTTACCTAATTAATAGTAACATGAATATAAATATTAAAGCAGAAAACCATGGATTACATCAGTGACCAATTTTGCGAATAACTTGGGTTGATCATTAAAAAATTTTGTTTTTTTACCTTTAAGAATTTGAATATTGTTTTATTAATGTTACGAGTCTCTAAACATATGCTCAATGAAGACTTGCCTTAATATATTGAGCTACATCCTAGCCCATGCTAATCTATGTATATTCATGTTTTGTAGGTTTTTCCATCTCTTGATGTGTCCTTTCAAATTAGTCCTTGCCCATCAAGATTGCAAGAGTTCCTCTTGCGTATGGACATTGTCAACCGAACTAGTTCAAATTCTTTCCAAGTTCATCAGCTTTCATCTGTTGGGCAGCAGTGGAAAATCTTGTTGCTTCAGCCTGTTGATAGTGTCTTAACTTCTCCATCTTTATTTCCTGGCCAAGCATTGTCATGTTTCTTCATGCTTAAGGTCAGTACAGGAGCTGCACCCTTTTGTCTGTATCTCATAAAATGTTGTCATCAGATTATTCATGATCTTGGTTGTAATAGACTAATAGTGTTGGCCTGTCCCCTATGTACTCAGTAATGTGGTTTCAACTTCTGGTTGTGGCATTCAAGTCTTGAACCTAATCTCAACTAAAATTCTACTGAGCTTGGCTTGAGGCTTGACCTTTATTTGTCTTCTGGTAATATTAGGAAAAAATGCATTCAGTGTTAAGATAACACTTTTGTCGCTTTGGATATGGGAATCCACGTGGCATACATTGAACCTGAAAGCAAACATGCCTACTGAGTTCTGCTAGTTGAGCCAATGGGGAGGGGGTGGAGAAATAGTTTGTCATCTTGAGATAACATGTGTTTCTGATTTTCAATACTTACATATTCTTTCTTCAGGATTGCAAATCACTTACTTCAGAGGACAGAATCTCATCTTCTTCCCCACTCCTTGGAAGTGACGTAAGATTGGGTCCTCAGACGAGTGAAGATGAAACCCTTTTCGATGTATCTAGATCACCCCTGGCTGATTTCCACAGCTGTGAAAGATTGCACCAAGGACCATATCAGCAGGTAGTTACATTTTCATGCCATTTGCATATTACTGACTAGAATGACTATCCTTATGTCAAGTGTATCTGTGACGTCTGCCACCTTGGTCGTATTTTGTCCTAGATAACATTATTCACCATTTTGTTTCTCTCAAACTTAAATTGTTGAATACTGATGAAGTTTTGGTGGATCACTATAACATGTTTGATCCACTATTTTTAGTTCTTTGCATTATTTTCCTGACTGTTAATGGTTTCATTATTTTATTTTTCATGAGGACCAGGGAAACCAACATGCAGTTGACTTCATTTTGATCTCTCGGCTACTGAAGGATAATATCCATTCTGGGGCTTCTGACCCACCACATCTCTTTTCGCATCATGCATGCCATTGCAGGCAAGATTTATAAACCAACAATTTTTAACAACGAATTTTGAGTGGATACTAGTTGTTCTGACTTTTTCTGTGTTACTTTTGCATTTTGGTAGTCTTGCAAGCATAAGTCCAATATCATGGCTAGTTGATGGGCCTCGGACCATACATCATGATTTTGCAGCTTCTTTTTGTGAAGTTAACTTGAGGATGTCTATTAGCAACTCAGCAGATGCTGTTGTATCCGTCCATGTCAACACCTCTGATTCCTCCAGCAGCAGTGGCCAGTCAAGTGATGCAGCGGTAGCAGCAGCTCATTCTTCGGAAGACCAGGCAGGGTGGCATGACATTCCAGTAGCAAATGACATTAAAATCACGTCAGATGTTCTTGCAACACGAGTTGGAAAGTCAATGTCAATAGAAAGTGTGTCTCACTTCATTTGGTCCGGATCAAGCTCTACCAAGGTCCTACTTGAGCCAAAATCAACTGTTGAAGTTCCGCTTCAGATTTGTGTTTTTGCTCCTGGAATATATGATCTTTCAAACTATGTCTTGAATTGGAATCTTTTGCCAACTACCGATCAAGGAAATCTAGGGGAAGAAAAACCATCTTCAGGTGAATGCCAGGGATATCCTTATTATTTGACGGTGCTCCAAGCTACTTGAAACCCTGGCTTGCTTTTGCACGGTTTTGTCGGCTGTTAGTTACATCACAACATCTTGATTGTACTAATCAGTGTAACTTACAATTGTAAATCATAGTGCTTCATTGTAATTTTTACGACGATAGGAACACCAGGAAAAGCATAGTGGAAGTAGATGAAATATTCATTTTGGTTTTCATCATAATAAGTACAATGAAAACAAAGTCATTCTATTGTAAGTTGGTGTACTTGAGCAGACATTTGTTGAATAGGAGAATTACATTTGATTACGCTTAGTTTGATTACATTTGATGCTGCAGCCTAGAATTTGATTGTTAATCCTGAAGTGTGACACTGTTTTGTCCTTGATGGAATAATACTGGTGATTGTCAACATGACATTATCGAAGTGAATTCATCTTCATCAGAGCCTGGTATTAGTATTTTTCTTTAACTCTTCTATTCCCATCAGCTGGTAGAAGTATTTAGACTGCTTCCAATCAGTGGATCTCTCTTCTTTCTTTCTTTTTTTCAATTTTTTTAATTTTAAATTACACAATAAGAAGAAGTCAACTCCAATTCCTTAAGCCACTTCACCCAGCATGTTATTAATAAACAACTAATAAACATTTTAACTTGTTAGTGTGTTAAATCATTATCAATTGGACAAACTCTATATTTGTTACCTTGTACATTATTTTTTTTTTAGTCAACATCCTATATAATTTTCATTTTTGATCAATCCCTTCATAATTTGAAACTTGTGAAAAACTTTAAATTATCAAGTTAAGGTACAATAAATAAAAGATTTAACCATTAATTTTTGATATTTTTGCGAGTTTTAAACTATGAAAAGTATTGAGTAAGAATACAAATTTTTGAAGGTGTTGATTGTGAGAAAAAATAATGTAATAGATACAAATAAAAAGTTTGACCTTATTAACATGCATATTGAATAAAAAAACCATTGGTGACTGCAAGCTTAAGCTTTCCAATGCCAGAGGGAGGGAGAGAGAGCGAGGGATTCATTCTATCGATAGATTGAATTGCCTAATAGACTTTAGAAATAATGTACAGTACATAAAGTCTACCTCCTTTATAAATTGAGATATCATACCAAAAATCACAGGATATAGATATCTCTAAATTCATATACGACCGAGTCTAATCTTTATCCGGAAACAGATCATTTTCCCACCAATGCCATCAGTCTCTCTAAAATAATTCAAATAACGGCTATTTTCAGGTCTGATGGATAAGGAAAAATTGTACGCAGAAATTAATTAAATATTTTATTTTTTTACGCATTAAGTAATAATTTATATAATAAAAAATAACTGATTTCATTTTTATTTAACTATAAAAAAATATAATTAATAAATTAATATTTATTAAAACGTGATAATCATACGTTACACTTCACTTTATTTCTCGCACGAACAAAACGTAACTACTTAAACAGTAGTGCAATAACCCTTTTCATTTTTAATCCTTCTGCACTTATCTCATGGTACCGTGCTTAAAACTTTTAATGTAGAGAATTAAATTTTTAACAATTAAAATGATTTTTTTTAATTTCAATGCTCTTATTAAATCAATAGAGAAAATAATAATTCTATAAATATTTTTACATCTTTTTGTTTTTATTAAAATCTCAATAACTATCTTAAATTTCGATTAATTTAAAATCGAGTCAAATCGAATCAAATCTTATAAATAAAATCTCTCTCAATATCTATTTTTTTATTTAAGTTTTCATTCAATACACTTAAACATAAGACCTTATTTAAAGGCAACTGAACTTCTTTCACTCATATCAACATGTTATTTATATTTTTTTACATCTTTTTATGTATGTTTAACTCTTTTTTTTTATTAACCTTTCAGTATTCGGTAACCACATTGAATCTTAATTAATCCAAAATTGAACCGTGTCATACTCCCATTTAAGAAAAACTTTTCTAACACCTGTTTTTCATTGACAAGATTTAAATTCAAAATCTTATTAAAGGAAACCAAACTCTTTTTACTCGGATTAAAAAATGATTGGTCGTATGTCTAACTTATAAAATTAAGTTTATAATTATTTAATTACAATTTCAAAAAAAATTATAAATTTAAAATTATAATATATCATACTAAATGAATTAATTACATAAAAAATTATGATATTATTCATTATAAGTTTATAATAAAATATGATCTTTAAAAATATTTTATTTTTAATAAAATAAATCCATCACTGCCGCTCCACGCGGTTTGTTAAATAGAACAAGAGGAATGCTAAGGGCACTCGCTTTCTGCACTCTCCGGCCAACACTTCCCCTTTCATTGGGCCACGTAAGCTTCTTTTAAGCTTTCAGGCGCAACGTCTCCAGACCAGAATAACGTGGCCCAATAAAAGAGAAAGTGTTGGCCGGAGAGTGCAGAAAGCGAGTGCCCCTAGCATTGCTCATAGAACAATCAATGCCGTTTCCTTTCACCTCCCTTACTCGTTTTGATTACCCACCCCGTAGACTCCTTCCCCATTCCTCCACTTTCCCAGATCTTTCCTTTGAAAATGAAAACAAAAACCATGTCCATATCACCAAGAAAACGCTATGTCGTCGTCGTCGCTTCCTATCTTGACTTCTAAATAACTCCCACCTTCTTCCTCATAGCAGCCCCATCATAACCACCCTCCTATATTTCAATACCCATCTCACAATTCAAGTCGTCGTTCTCTGTTATTCGTTTTCATTTGCTGTTCTATTCTTTTGAGCATTTCACCGAACAGCTGGTGTGCGGAATTCGGACTCTTTAAACACCTCAACGCTTGTTCTCGTTGGGAGATTTGATACTGTTGGGTTTTGAGCAGAGAAGATGAACGATCTCTTCTCCGGTTCATTTTCGCGCTTTCGCAGCGAAGAGGCGTCTCCTGATCACCACCATCATGCCATCCAGATGACGCAATCTGGTTCCACCGGCGGGGTCAATCTCGATAAGTTCTTTGAGGATGTGGAGTCGGTCAAGGACGAGCTCAAGGAGCTGGAGAGGCTCAACGGCAGTCTCCAGTCGTCTCACGAGCAGAGCAAGACCCTGCACAATGCCAAGGCGGTCAAGGACTTGAGAGCTCGCATGGACGCTGACGTTGCCATGGCATTGAAAAAGGCCAAGTTCATCAAGGTCCGCCTCGAGGCCCTCGACCGCTCAAACGCCGCTAACCGGAGCCTACCTGGCTGCGGACCAGGTTCTTCCTCTGACAGGACCAGGACCTCTGTGGTCAACGGGCTGAGGAAGAAGTTGAAGGATTCTATGGAGAGCTTCAACGTATTGAGAGAGAAGATCTCCACGGAGTACAGAGAGACCGTCCAGAGGAGATACTTCACGGTCACCGGCGAAAACCCTGACGAAAGAATTCTGGATCGTTTGATCTCTACAGGTGAGTCAGTGATTGCTGATCCATTTTTTGTTTTGTTTATAATTTGGTTTAATTTATTAATAATTTCATTATTGAAAATAAAGTCATAATTTTTAAGGATTGGGAAAGAAAATATATAGAAATTTAAGAAATTTGTCCCCATTTTTTTTTTAAATCTTAAAAAAAATGCAGACTTATTGGAATGATTCAAAGATTTTCATCTTATATAATATAATGTTTGTATTTTGGTTTCATTTGATGATCAAATGAAAACAGAGTTCTAAATTCCTAATGTATAACCAATCTTGTTGTCTCTGCAACTTGAATTCTAAGTTGAAGGGATTAGATTCGAATCCTAAGACGGATGGGATGAGTATTTGGAAAAGAAGAGGATATCCTGTTGGATAGCTTATCATCAGATATGCCCAAAAAAAAAAAAAAATGTTGTATGATAGCTGTGTTTGGATCTTATGTAATGAAATTGATCACTTTACAGGGGAGAGTGAGACATTTTTGCAGAAAGCCATTCAAGAACAAGGTAGGGGCAGAATTTTGGACACGATCAATGAGATACAAGAAAGGCATGATGCTGTTAAAGACTTGGAGAAGAACCTACAGGAGTTGCACCAAGTTTTCTTGGATATGTCAGTGCTGGTTGAAGCTCAAGGGGAGCAGCTGGATGATATCGAGAGTCAAGTGAATAGAGCTAATTCATTCGTGAGAGGTGGGACTGAGCGGTTGCAGAAGGCAAGGGTCCTTCAGAAAAATACCCGAAAATGGACTTGCTATGCTATTATTCTTCTGCTGGTGATTATCTTGTTTGTGGTGTTATTCACTGTGAAGCCATGGGAAATGAAGAATGGTGGGGGTGGTAGTCCCACTCCATCACCACCACCACCATCACCACCGCCACCATCACCACCTAGTGGGGCATAGATTTGTCCGATTAGGTATCATTTACTCTAGTTTGAGATTTCAGATTTCATATATTCTTTTTCCTTCTGGGATTGGTTATTTATACAGAGAGCTGAAAGTTTGATGGGGCGAGATACTAGGGCTTTTGGTTGAATGCCCTGAAGCTTTCCACTACACTACTTGTTCCATAATGGAAAGCCAACCAGAGTCGGTACTGGAATATATAGTGGTTAGGCGATTCCATAGTAGTGCCAAGAGTTCTGGTCAGGTAGACTGTTGGAGTTGGAGAAACCATCTTTGGGTTATTGATTCTTTCTTGTAACTAGTATTTTGCTTCAATTTTATGTTGTTTTTCAGTTTCCATATGATTTTTGCTTCATTATTTTGCCTATCAAATCATATGTTCATGTAGTATAGGTTCTACCATTTTGGTGATGCTTTTTCTGGCCAGCCGCTCCCATTTTTAACCAAGGATCTACTTCAGCTTCAGGACCCTATTGGCAATAGAAAATTGAAGAATGAACTTGAAAAACATAAAAAAAGTGGCCGTCTGGATTGCAAAATATTAACCATTACTAGACAAGGGGCTCCTTGATAATGGGTGTAGACTCCTTAAGTATTGGCTGCTATTTTAATGTCCAAACTATAAAATATTAAACTCTAAAAACATATTACAAACGATATAAGGTAGAGACATGTATATAATAGATTACACAACATAAAATAGCCCTCTTATTCAAATTTCACCCACTCCATCAAAATTCAATACTGGACCATACAATGTGAGACAGCTTTTTCTGTTTTTTTTTTTTTTCTCAAATCACACGTGATCATGTCTTGCTAATATGTGGGGAAAATTCAAGTGTCTAAGGTTAAGAGAATCAACCATCAAGAGATTGGCTGAACTTTGGTAGATATCTTGTCTTTATCTACGTGTTTTCACTTTTTGGTAGAAAACCAATGGAGTTTAGTGGCAATCTTTCTTAATTCACAAAATTTTTTATGGGTTTGGATTTAGAATCTACACAAATATGATTCGAACTACACTTGGCAAAAGCAAAATAAAAAAATTTTCACAAAACTGCTGACATACATTTTTTTTTTTTTTTTCCCTTCTCTGACTTCTATTCATTGGACAGATTCTAAAGGTAATCAAGAATAAGAGCCAGAAAGGAACTACAGTAAACTCCACATAAGAATGTGTCCTGAAACACTAATATCACAGCAGAAAACTCTATTGGCCTTGAACCTTGATGACAATAAACAATAAAACCTTCCATCTTAATCCATGCTTTACATGTACAATTTTCTCAACGGTTGTGAAGCATGAGACAGTATGCTGAATCATCATCAGGAAGTACAAGGCATCACTTCAGCATAATAGTCCCAATAGTCCCCCTGAGCTCTTCCCGCAAAGCATATTTAAAACATAGACTCTACCGGTGAAATTCTCAGGCAGTAGGGCTAGTAAACAACTCACTGTTCTCCAGACTATTCTCTGTTTTTCTTTCTACTTTTGGGGGAGGAGTGCGAGTAGCAGCAGCCACATTCAATCGTAGAGGCCGACCCTCCAGCTCCTAAAGACCAAATCACAAATGAAACAGATATTGAGAAGGAGAATTTCATGAAGGATGAAAATATTTTCATTAAACTCAATCTTACCACTTCATTCATGGCAGTAATGGCAGCCTCAACATCCCCAGCGGTCTCAAAGGAGACAAACCCAAAACCCCGAGATCTTCCTGTGCCTCTTTCATAGATGACTTTAGCAGTCAAAAGACCTTGCTGGTCAACGAAGGCATCTCTAAGATCTTGTGAGGTCACACCCCAGCCAAGATTTCCTGCATAGATCTTGTAAGGGCTGTCAACAAAGCCTTTGTAACCTCTCCCTATCTTTGGCCCCATTACTTCCCTCTCACCTCCCCTTGGCACTTCAGGGAAGTTCACCTTCACAGTTCGCCCTCCAATTTGCTGTCCGTGCATGACCAACCAAGGCAAAATTAGCTTTACTTGCCATTCATAATGGAATGAAGCTACTATATAAATGACACTCAAACATATCATATTTGAATGATCACAGAAGTTGTCAAATGAGAAGAGCAAAATCTAGAGCTATATAAGCTAAAACTATACGTTAAATATCTCTGTTACCCATTAAATTCCACAACTCTTCTAGCACCAAAATTCAACCATAAATTCAAAAAGTACCTATGATTGAAGCTGTTCTACTCTAAATGGAACCACAGAAAAAGATCTACTTTAAAACCGACTCAAAAACCTTGAAAAGTGATGAAATGGACAAAAAAATTGCATTAGTCATTTCATTTCTACATTATGAGAAATCCACTTAACTTCTACATCAAAAACTTTAGTTCATGCCCTAATTTTACATCAAAGATCTGAACCTACAAATGCAGAAGGACAAGGAGCTTATTCAACTGTTGGCAACATTGATGAATGGCAAATTTTTCAAAGAAAAAGATATGAAAATGTAAGGCAGGCAGGGTGAATGTGAATGCATCCTGGAGAATGTTGCCATTTTCAAACTGAGTTGTGGAAAAGATATGAAGATATGTCCCTTTGAAGGAAATTTCTTCTAGGGAAATCATCTATCCGTGAACCAACATGCCTCCACAAAAAGGTATAGGAAGCTTCCATAATCTTGGAAAAACAAAACGGAAAAAAGAAGGCATTTCCCTTTATATTACACCGTGTCCATGTGTTACGGTTCAATCAATTCATTTTTTGTAAACCAAGTTACTACAACCTCTTAAGAAACCAATTGGGAGCTTCTGGTAATGCATAATGAATCAAGAAAGAAACTATATGCTACACAATTCAAAAAGGAATTAAATTTAATGCGAAGATTGGAGCTAACAGATCCATCAAAGAGCCGGATTGCTTCTTGAGCTTCTTCAACGCTCCCCATTGAAACAAAAGCAAAACCCCTGCTCCTATCTGTAATTCGGTCATAAACAATCTGCCAACAGAATACAGAGCAAAACTCATGAACATGACAACCAAAATGATTCAAAATACCACATGCCTCTCTATAGGGCAAACCCAAAACAAACCTCCGCAGAAACAACCCGGCCAGCCTCACCAAAAATCTCAGTCAATTCTGAAGAAGTCATTGAAAAAGGCAAGTTCCCAACATACAACCTCCCCTTGTCGCGACCAGACTGCGGTGCCTTCTGCTCTTCTTCTTCCTCTTGCTCCGACTCTTCAAACCCTTCACTTTCTGGGTATTCTTCTTCTTCTTCTGTGCTTTCCTCTTCTTCAGCGAGTTGGACGCTGTCAAAGAAAGACGAGAAGCAGGAAGGGCGAGAGGAGGAGGAGAAGTTTAAAGAGAAGGGAAGGGGATTAGAGTGCTGGGTTTTGAGTCTGAGAGGTTTTAAGCTCCATTTCGGCTTTGATCGGAATTGGGTAGTGGGATGAAGGAGTAATGAGAATAGAGGGGAGAGTTTGTTGTTGCAGAGTGGGGAAGAGGCGCCGGCGGTGGCTGCAACAGACAGGGAAGAAGCTGACATTATGTGCAAGCAAAAAGGGTGTTCCGAATTCCAATGATTCGGAAGGGAAATTGGATGGGACGAAAACAGATGCTTTGAGAAGAAATGCGAAGAAGAAGAGCAGTGGCTCACCGTTGGGATAAGGTTAGGAGAAACAAATATTTTTTTCCCTTTCCCTTTCCCTCGTAGCGGTTCCCATCTGTTATATTTCAGTTTGGATCCCTATTTGGGCCACAGTGTTTTATTTTTATTTTTTATCAAAAGGGAGACCTAAGAAGACCCCCAAGCTCAAGGCCATACTTGTATGTTTTACAATTTCACTTCTTTTGTTTTTTTGTTACAAATCATAGATAAAATGTAAAGTTTTATTTATCTAATAAATTATTATTTGTACATAAAGTAGTTTAAGTTACTACAATCAATAGTTTTACTTATAATCAATAAAAAAATTATAAATATGTTTTATATAAATCAAATATATAATCTCTTAATAAATATCTAATATAAGTAAAATAGAGGGAGAGAACAAAAGACAAATCTTTTTCTTTTTTTTATTGCAAAAACTGGAGGGAAAGGTGAACAAACTTGCCTTATTTTATTTTTTACTTTCAATTTCATCATTCTAGAAAAGAATCATTTCATTTTCCCTTCTTTTCTTTCCTTCATTTTTATCAAACCAAACAGTGTTACTTTTATTAGAATGAGAAATCACCTCCTTTTATTGGCTAGCAAGTGTTTAATTAATTTCTTATAGGCAACTGTAATAAACTTAATTTGAATCATAATCCAGTAGATGATTCTAGGTCTTACCTCCCCCTCCCCCTCCAACTGTAACATGTTAAGAACAAAAAAAAAAATAAATAAATAAAAAGACCCAAAAAAGTGTATATAAACATTTAGATTTGGACCAGATGTATTCATATCACAAAAAGTTGGACATCTTATTGCACACAACCAGAGTAGACAGTAGCTGCCAAACTTCAGGAACACCACAGTTTTTACATTGTTTAGGATCACAAGCATATAACTTATTGGATCAATTGGAAGATCCCATTGATAGTCTGCTCCGTTTTCTTTATACAGGTCAATATGGTTCCCACATCTTCTAACCAACCCAATTCTGTCGGGTTGCATAGAAATAATGCAAGGACCATTACGCAAATGAGCCAAGGATGACTTGTCCAAACTACCGGACCATTACGCAAATGAGCCAAGGATGACTTGTCCAAACTACCGGATAGAACTACTAGTAGAACTACGAGTGCGTTGAGGTTTAAGCATTTTCCAAACCTGCAAGACTGCAGGGTTCTGTAGGAATAGCTAAAACTTCAATGCACGAAAGCCAAGAATGAATTGCCTAAAGCAACCAAATGGTGGCAGCACAATCCTGGGACTGAAACCTGTTGAAAATCTATGATAGAACGCAACAAAGCTCCTCCATTTGGTTGCATCAGGGACGGGGGTTGGTGCACGGTAATTGCACCAAACCCACCAATACCCCTGATATCAGACTTTTAGGGTACAGCAGCCATCTGCTGCTGCAACCCACTTGTTGGGAATAGCGATCCCACGCTGGTTATCCATCAGTTCGGAAAAGGAGTGAAGAGATGGGCCAAGATGGTTGATTGGAAAGCGCTCAAAATCTCCCCGGACATACATGCTAGTGACTTCTAATCCTGACGGATTTGACCCATTTCCATTTGCCTCCCTGGATGCATTCACTGGTCTGCTCTCTGATTGCAGGACTTCAGAATTTGGTGAACCAATTTGCTGAAACTGTTCTCCATCATCAGCTTTCTTCACATCATTGTTACCTTTTTTATTGTTTAAACTTTTTGTGTTCAAGAAGCGGCCACCACATCCCCTTGGTCGGCGCATTGCATGTAGATGGCGTGAGTGGTGCATGTATGGCTGCAAGACATAAGCAAAACCTAAGTCATGTCATCCAAAGGAGGAGGTATTTAAAATTTTCAAGAGAAAAATGTTTCATTTAATTCCATCTGATCTTGCTCCAGAATGAAGTAAATTGAACATGCTACGGATTTGAATGAGAACATATTATGATTTATTGTCCTTTCTGGTGAAAATAGGAAGGTTCCTTGTCCAGAAAAAATGTTCCATGTAGGAGAAATTTACATCAAGTTGAGGAAGTTGTTACTTTCTACTTATAATCATAAAGTCCAACAGCCACCAATCTAAACCAAGGACCAAGCAAGCAACTAAGGAACAAGGACTGAAGAAAAAAAATTAGAAGTAACTTCACTTCAACTCCAGACCATAACTGTTCTAAACAAGAAGGATGGTATATTAAGATATCAACAGAAATCATCATACCTTACGAGTTTTGGGGACTTTATTCTCTAGTACAGCTTTTGCACGGGATTGCCTCCGCCTGATGATTCCATGGTATTGCTTGGCATTCACATATATCGGTCCTTCATCTGCTGTCAAGTCCAGCGGCAGCATGATGCGACCCTATTTTGTTACGAATGAATTAGTATATGATTGTGGATTGGACAAGATACTACTAGTGGCAGTCTAACAGATGATAAACTAAGAACTACAAATATGGCATTCGTTGAAAATTGAGAGATGAAACTGAAACAAAATATCTTAACTTTTGATGCACATTATCATCAGTGTGCTATTGTCCTGAATATAGTTTAGTAAAAAGGAAAGTGATACTTTCTTTTGCTTATGCAAAACTATTCATCCCTCTCGCTTCTATTTTTCTACTCATCCAAGACCCCTCAACCATACCTCCTCCAGTTGGCTTCTTTTCTTTTGCCCATTTCCCCTCCTCTTTCCTTTAAAATATCTCCTCCAAGTTTCTCCTCTTTTTTTTTCTTTTTTCTTTTTTTTTTTTTAATTTAATTTCTTTGATTTATAATGTTTTTTTCTCTTCTCTGCAATATGAGTCACAATCTTCAATGCATTTTGCAGAATGCATTCAAGTTCATCAAATATCATCTTTGCCAATGAGTTGTACTTATCTCAACCCAAGACAATTAAAACACAATTAAAACTAACAGCAACTCCAGCATGCGATTGGAAAAGATTAATTAGTTATAATTAAACAGTAAAACTATAGTAATGGTGACACTAGGTATAATTAGACCTGCATCTATCCATACTGTATGTATAGACAATATTTATGCAAGCAATCAGGTCATTCAGAAATTATTCTTGAATATATTTGATTCTTCTCCTATCTACAAATGTACAAATGCATACATGACTGGTTAGAAAGCTTTAGAAACTCGACCTCCTTAGAGATTACAACCTAGAGAAATCCTGTAATTTTGTTATGGCAAAGCAAAATGGTAATAGGTAACCCTTGACAGTTTCTATTTGTCATGCCTCTACTTTTTTAAGCAAGAATCATACTGGTGATAAATTTATACCAGTAAATTTACAGGAAGACAAATTTTGCTTCAGATTGGTGATATAATTACAAACATATAATTTGAGATAAATGCAGAGAGAAAAAATATTATGGGAGACAAACCGAAACGTGAGCACCATAAGTTGGGAACAGTCCATAGCATTGATCCACGTAAGGGTATTTTGTGCAGATCTAAAGTTGCAGCACAAGAAAGCAAACAATTAGTTATCCAGTAGTAGAACAAACCAGGATGGTTTGCTAAAGAAGCTTCAGAAAAAAATATTACCACGGGCTGACCAAATGCCAGGTCAAACCGAGAATGATATTCTGAAGGAGCTGAATGCAGAGAGATGGCTACCTGAGATTTTTGTCCACCTCCTGAAGTTTTGCAATCACCTGAACACGAAAATATGTCACCCGTTAGCAATTATCAAAATGAAGCACTTGGTACATGATTTGGGTGCAGAGACTAATACATGTGTGTGAAAATAAGTTATTCACTTTGATTTGATTCTAAAACATGTATCAGAATATACTGTCAGAGCCATAATATTGTAGATAGCATTAAAGAAAGAAACAACCCTGAGTACGTTGCAAAAAGAGGAAATATAAGACAAAGAGTTTTCACTCTACAAAAAGATTTCAATCAATCCTCCATAGAATTTAGATGAGGGTTAATGCTGACAAAATTAGAGGTAACATATAAAGATCCTAACTACCAGCCCAGATAAAATCCGTTATTACTTGTGAAGTTATGAACCACCTTCTCATTCATTGAATTCTGAAACCATAGCCTTAAAGAAAACCAAGGATTCAATTTTACTTATCACTGAATGGCCAAAAAAAAGTTTACTTATCATCAACACAGTAAACAGCCATTTTAAAGTTAAGCTGAAGGGACAGCACCCTTCAACCAAGCATTTTGTTTGATGCCAAGAATAAAAAATACACAACTATCATATAAGATCTCTTTGTTTCACTTGATCATGCAAATTTTGTGTTGAAACTTCTATATTAGTGATGTTACAGTACTTTCATCTTACACTAGGAATGTTACTACAACTAGGCTATAAAATGACAATATCCAAACACTGCCTAAAAAATGTTAAAAATATTGTTAAGTGCCTGAGATTGTATCAATATTTGAAGTCAACTACAACAAACTGAAAATTTTCCTTTCTGGTAAAAGAATAAGCAGCTGCAAGAAAGCGTGATTACACAGTCTGTTTATCCCCTAAAGGAATGAAAGTAATTGCAGGCACTTATTTTAAGCTTCTTCATCAAATTGTTGACTGAGGCACCTCTCTTTTAACCATTTATTGTCTAATTAAAATATTTAGATAATTTTCCACATCATCAGATAACCCAGGTTGAGCAATGCATTGATGTTGTGGAATTCCTGATGCCATAACTGGAATTTTTCCATAACATTTTAGGAAGTATCCAATTTGAGATTCTCTATCAATGTATTGTAGAGATCTATTTATGTTGGCCTTAACATATTTATGTTTTCAAGTAACACTCACAATCTCATGAAACCATCACGTATACTTTGAAAAGATAAATTGAAAAAGAGATCTCTTTGCCCACATCTTAGGATTTTTCACATACATGGAGCTTGGAATATAGCAAACTTAAGATTAGAAATTGATCCAAATTCTAAAATGATACATCAAAAATTGGAGATTACCGGGGAATATAGTGAACTGAGTTGCATCCCCTTTATCCCCTCCTTGTTCAGTACCCCTTCCTGCTGGTTTACCAGAAGGAAGTTGGCCTACGCTGCTGAGATGCTCCATAGTTGAATGCTTAAGTTGCCCACAACCCTCACCATAGGCCGATTGGGACCCAAAGGCACTCCACCAAGGCACTGATTGAGTAGATGACAACTGCCCCATAGAATTATGGGAAATTCCACCATGCTCTTTGAGATAAACAGTTTGCATGGCCATTCTTACCTCTCAAAAGTGATTCCAACAAATGTTTGCAATCAACTCTGTAACTTGAGTACTTTGATCAATTCCAGCACACTGCACTATAAAATCCATAATCAGCTTTCATGCCAAAATCCTGCCAAATTCCAATACATAAATATGAAAATCAACTCCAAGGATTAACTTTGAGGTTACTCATAATTCAGTTTTCATCATTTTGGAACCAAAGAAATAAGAGAGACCCAAAAAAAGACCTGCAAGCTAAGAAAAGAGAACCAAACAAAAGACACCATTTTTCTTTCTCTAGAACAACCATATGAAAATTTTTTTGACAAACCCCAAATCAAATTATTGCGATGGAACTGCAGAAAAAAAAAAAAAAAAAGCCAAAACCCAAGTTTCCAAAACGCATGAATTGCCCAAAAAGAAAAGAACCTAGTTCCCATAATACATCATGAGAGACATCAAGAGAACACAGTGCAGAAAAAGAAGAACAATTAAGATCATAGTAGCACCCAAAAACAGTAGAAATAAAAGAAGAGCTGAAGAAGAACAATTACTACGCACATCAAGCAGGCACGAGTCCTACTCAGGAGAAAAGCCCCGATTGTTAGGAGCCATGTCGGTATAAATTGAAGCAGAGTAGAGGAAGAAGGAAGCAAAAAAGAGGAGAGAGAAAGACGGGTAAAGCTGGGAGACGGGTGACGGATGGGTACAAGTGTAATGGAACTACACGCCAGACACCAATGGGATTCAGGCTTCATGCAGTGCACTTTTGTACTATGTGCAATAGTATATAAAAATCATACCCATTAAGGCATTACCCCATATAAAGTCGCCCCATTTTCTCCATGTGGTCCTCTCCCACTTCCGCCCTTTTTACAATCCAAATCCAACTCCAAGACTTCGCCTTTTCTAGGTTTTCCTATTTCCAATTTCAAAAATAACCGTTCAATCCACCCATGGAAATTCTTCCATGACTGCCTGACTTGTAGCCATCTATATGTGGCGATGTGGCGATGTGGCGATTACCAATTAACTACTGAGTCCGGTTTGATTCCACTGCTAGGGCAAGGGGTGGGTGCTGGTTTGGTTCAGTAAAACCGATACTATTTGGTTTACTAAGTCTCTTTCTTAACCAAACTATTTTTTTTTTTGACCAGTGAGAAATTTGAGGGATGAAGGAATAGTTGTAATATTGTTGCACTGACAGCTTGAACCCTTGATAAAGATGCCAAGGGAAAATGTGTACTTCCATTGCGGCTAAAGCCGCAAGTGCTTAACCAAACTATTTTATTATTGGAACTATAATATAATTTGATTGATTTAAAATCAATTTATACTATTGCAAGTATTACACCAATTCTCAATAACTTGTTTCAACATTTGAATTTTTAAAATATCCATTAAAATTTAAAATGTGTGGTTGAAAATTGATGTAATAGTTTCTTAAATTTATATTGTTATAAGTTGATCCCTCACTCTATTTGACCATATAAAATTTTTATATACAAAATGATTTGAATTGAAATACATCTTAAATTTTTAACCAAAGCATCCAACTTTAATTTAAGTAGATTTCATCACAACTTCAGTTAATTCAGCTTAGTTTGGAAAGATATCTTAGCTAAACTTGAACTCAAAATAATATTGGTTAAATTCAATTGTAATTAAATTTAGCAAAAAACCGCAACTGGCCCTAGAGGCCCAATAATATTAGCCGTTGAATAGGTGTATTCCCCCTCCTTGAACCTATCCCATATCAAAATGTTCAAAAAAAAAAAAATAGCAAAAAGCCAAAATTAACCAAACAAATGTTTGATTCAATTAAGAAATGTTTTAATACATCACTACTAGCATTTAATAAAGGCAAAGCTATTACATCCAATCTTATTTTATAATAAAATCTTATAACTCTAATAAGTGAATTATGAATACATATCCATTTATGTGTCTTTAAAATAATGTTAAAACCAAACACGGTTATAAATAAAGTAAACTCATCATTTTCAAGAAATAACAAAATAAAGTGGCTGATTTCATGCTTCCATTAATGTATGCGAGTAATTGGAAGCTACACCAAAATGAATGAGTCAACCATAAATCATATCATTACGGTAAATGAAGAGGAAGTGTGGAAGAAGGATTTTGAGCTTTTGCTGTGTACAACACCAATTATTCTTGTTTGAGAATAGGATGGTTCCATTTTTGCTTTCTCAACTTGGCATGTACATTTCTATGACATCAGGATTATTCTCCATTTAACCTTTGAAAGTTAATAACGGAAGCATTAATCAATCTCAAAGGACAACCCAAAAAAAAAAAAAAAAAAAAGTTAAAAAGATTCACAAAAAAGGAAAAAAATGTGAGGTGGGGAGAAAGAAAGGACCACAAAAAAGTGAGATGGGTACGTAGGTTTTATCACCAATTTTTTGGGAAGCAATCTTTCCATAGAGATCTTGATCTGCACATGTTTCTAGTCCTTTTCATGTTTGGTTGAAATTAGGGTTGGTTGAGGGAGATTCCCTTGTGACATTGTTTCCTATTAAGGAGCAAGATTAAGGGGTTGTTATCATTAGCCGCAAAGCAAATTATATGATCCAGAAATGGCGAATTAGGTTGCAGAACCAGATTCATAATGAATGTTTTCCGCCGGCTAGGACGACTCTGGCGTGGCTGCTCCGCCTCTTATTTAAAGGCCACAACTTCAGTGGTAAACCCTTCAATAATATAATTAAATTCTAATGCTAATTTCATTTTATAGGAATGAAATTCTAAAAGTTCACGCTTCATTTGTTAATACTATATGTTACATTGTATTGGTAAAACTTTTTATCATTTATTATTTTAAAAATATATAAAATATTAATTAAAATTAATAAAAATATATAAAATTAACTAAATTCATAATTAAAAATTAAAAATTTATATTTTTAAATAAAATACAATGTAAAAAAAAAGTTTATAAAAAGCATTATTAAATAAAGCTTGACTCAAAAAATTCCTTTCTTTTTTGTTTAAAATTTACTTTACTATCAGATTAAGTTCATCTCTCCAATGCAGTCAAAACACGATGTTTTTTCTTTATTTTTGGGAGGGGAGGTTAGGTCTTGTGAGGAACTTATTGTGGAGTGACATCAAAAGCATGGATCATACCATTGGCAGTAGGTCCACATTACAGATTTTTTTTTTTCCCCTTGTTTCTTTAATTAATTTTTGCTTAACTTTAATTTACTAATGCCCTACTTGGGTAGGTATTAGGTAATGCTTAGGATTAAACCCAAGACAAGAACCATGATGAGACAAGTTGCATTGTCTTATTGAGCTCCTTGGGCTCCAGCTATGCAAAGAGACAAATTCATCAAAGTTGTGATGTAATAATATCTCTCTGAATTATTACAAGTTCCTACTGAAAACTCAAGTCTTGAAGAATATTAATGGTTGGTATGACAGGCAGCAGTTTTTTAGCTCAAATTTCAGCAACATCATAATCATCATATTTACTTCTTTTTTCTTGCCCTTTTCATACGTTTTGAGAAAAAATGGACATCCTAAAATTCATTTTGGGTATCCAAAATTGCCAATGAAATTCTGACTTTGTGATTAGAGTAGAGGTTATGGTATATACTCCTAAGGTCCAGGATTAAAATTTTTGTTTTGTCCATGTTATTAAATTTATATATATATATATTTAAACTTATCCAATTTTATATTGATTTATTATACTCCTAAAAAATTGTCAAAATCAATATCATTTTTATGAAATTCTACCCCTCATGATATGGTGTAGACTGACCAACAAAGGCATGCGCAATCATTTTACTGTCTCATATTTGTGTCCGTCAATTTCAAAGATTTTATCAAGATGTCAATCTTTTGAACCTTGAGACATCTCCTAACAGGACAATTTAGCCTATATGCTTCGTATGCAGGAAACTTAAGATATTTATCTTAATTTTATCATGTAAGGGAATATAAATATTTTAATCATAAAACTATCACAATTTTAATTATCATTTTATTTATGGATAAAAAAAAACTTATCATTTCGTCATTGAATTAAAGAGGTTTTAATTATACATTTTTAATTTAAGTAAGTACCAAAAACCATTTAAATTCATGGGTAATTATAAAATTTTTAACAATATCTTAATCTTAAACCTTGAGGCATGCATCTCCTAACAAGACAAATAGCTTAATTATATGTTTCGTATGCAGTGTTTCATAGACAAAACCAAGAATATTTTTCATACACAAATATGATTTTATTATGTACGGTGACAAGTATTTTAATTCGCAAGCATGTCATAATCTCAATCTATTCAGGCATTCACTGGTAAAAAAAGATTCATCATTCCACCAACACTGATGAATCAAGGTTTCATCGGCTTTTTCTTTGTTACGGTATCTTTGTGTTCACATTAATAACTTTAATGGAGTTACACATTAATTTAACTTAAGTGACTACTTTTCTCACAAAAATAATAAAACAATTAAGTGGCTATTCAAGCATTCAAAGGTAGAAGAATGCTACAGATACTCAACATCAACGTGAGGTCTAGTGTTTGTGCACTCCATACTTAATTGGTGCAAAGTAATTTTTTGTATTGTTTATTTTAAAAAATAAATAAATAAACTTGTGCACTCGGGCACTTGACATTCTTCTTCAAAGTCATTATCTTAGACACTTTTACAAAAAAGACAATAACCTTTGGATCCACGAAAATCCAAGTAAGATTGGCAAGAAAATAAAAGCATAGTCCTTGACTAATTGCATATATAACAACTAGCTACCATAAGATTGTCCTGTCCAAATTGTGCTTTTTCAGAAAAAAAAAAACGGCCCGCGTACAAATTTGTTGAGTCAGCATTCAGCAGAAACAATACAACTTCAGGGGGGTGAAAACAATGGCGGAGTTCGTACGATGATTGATGCCTTTGATTTTTGGATGTTTCCGTGGATGAAATTGACATTAATGCTTATTTCTTTGTCAATGATGTTGATTTTTTATGGTCATGGCTTGATATTTTTCTCTGTGGTTTGTTGATCTAAATCTACCGATAAATAGCACTTCGGCTTTTTTATCTAATAACGTCAAATTACATTTAAATACATTTTTTTATAAGTAATGATTTAAATTTGATATCTTATAAAATTATTAAAAAAAATCGACTGATAAATATGTAAAAAAAAAACCGACTGATAAATTTTTTTTTCTTTTCCTTGGAATTTGACTTGGTAATTTCATATTTTTCCTTTCTGCCTTTTTTTTTTTTTAAATAAAAGTGAAATATTTTTCCCTTTTGCTTTAGTATTACTGAACTTGTTTAGAGTTATAAATTTTTCTTAATTATCAATTACTCTATTTATTCGTCATAATGGACTTTTTTTTTTTTTAATAGTGATACACATCAGAATGGATTATATATCCATAGAGAATCATCTTTCACATTCAATCCCAGATCTCACCTTTTTTTATCAAAAATATTAACTATAATTAAAAAAGAGAGATTACATATCATAATTATTAATATTAAAAGAAGCTAAAACTTATAACAGTAATAGCAAAAGATTTTGCTTATGTGAAATCTAGACAATTAAGTAAAAATAGTCAATTATTATATTAAAAATTACAAAAGTAATTATCACGAAAGCAAATATAGAGCTAAATTATCTTGACTAGGAACCAACGCTACTAAATAGTT